ATGTCCTGCCAGCGGTCTAACTTCGGCACCTGATGGACAAAGATTTTTCTTCAAGCAGCCAGATTCATTGCTGGCACTTTGTGCAGCTGGTCAGTGAAAATGTGATAGTGCACTTTGAAGTCAACCATAAAGTTCTTCTCTGCCGTTTCCAAGAATTCACCCAGAAACCTGATATACCTTCCAGAGACAGACACAGACAAGCTTAGATTAGTGCTCTGAAAGTAACTCTTAATATGAATAGATTTTACACTTGCCAAAGTTATGCTCACTTTCCAACAGCAAACACAGTGGTTGCGATGGTGAGATTCATTGGCTTGTATATGGCATCAACCAGCTCAGGGTTAAAGGTTTCTTCCCAGATGATCGGTGCCAACCAGGGGGTTACGGCCATGACATCAGGACGCCTACGAAACACGAGACATGAGGAAGATCAGTCAGTGTGGTTCTGATACGGAACTCTTCCACAGATACCATCTAATAATTTACTATGTCGATTTGCTGATAGTATCAACTCAGCCCCTCGAACCTCACAGTGTCACCTGTTCTGCCCCTCAAACCTCACAGCGTCGCCCGTTCTGCCCCTCAAACCTCACAGCGGCACCCATTCTGCCCCTCTAGCTTCACAGCGGCGCCCGTTCTGCCCCTCAAGCCTCACAGCGTCGCCCGTTCTGCTCCTCAAACCTCACAGCGTTGCCCGTTCTGCTCCTCAAACCTCACAGTGTCACCCGTTCTGCCCCTCAAGCTTCACAGTGTCGCCCGTTCTGCCCCTTGAACCTCACAGCGTCGCCCGTTCTGCCCCTCAAACCCCACAGCGTCACCCGTTCTGCCCCTCAAACCTCACAGCGTCGCCCATTCTGCCCCTCTAGCTTCACAGCGGCACCCGTTCTGCCCCTCAAGCCTCACAGCGTCGCCCGTTCTGCTCCTCAAACCTCACAGCGTTGCCCGTTCTGCTCCTCAAACCTCACAGCGTTGCCCGTTCTGCTCCTCAAACCTCACAGTGTCACCCGTTCTGCCCCTCGAACCTCACAGCGTTGCCCGTTCAGCCCCTCGAACCTCACAGTGTAGCCCGTTCTGCCCCTTGAACCTCACAGCGTCGCCCGTTCTGCCCCTCAAGCTTCACAGTGTCACCTGTTCTGCCCCTCAAACCCCACAGCGTCGCCCGTTCTGCCCCTCAAACCTCACAGCGTCGCCCATTCTGCCCCTCTAGCTTCACAGCGGCGCCCATTCTGCCCCTCTAGCTTCACAGCGGCGCCCGTTCTGCCCCTCAAGCCTCACAGCGTCACCCGTTCTGCCCCTCAAACCTCACAGTGTCGCCCGTTCTGCCCCTCTAGCTTCACAGTGTCGCCCGTTCTGCCCCTCTAGCTTCACAGCGGCGCCCGTTCTGCCCCTCAAGCCTCACAGCGTCGCACATTGGTTAATGAATTACAAACACTTTGTTTAGTGCACTGGTGATAGTGTGTGACAATGTTTGCAGGTGGATCGTGAAACGTTCTGTTTTAAACCAATGCAGGAGCATTTTTTTACGTAAGCACCTGATAGGAGGAAATATCCATCATTCCACTGTTTTCTACTAGCCCACATTACTGCATGTTGGGTATTACCTCATCTTCTTTTGATTTAGCCTGGGGGTGACATGGTGGTACATTGGTTAATACTGTTGCCTCACACCTCTGGGACTTG